CGATGCTCTTCCTTGCTTATCATTCTTCTTGCTGCTTCTATTTTCCGTTTAGATTCTGGTCAAGCTACACANNACATGTGGGGTTATCCGGTCCTTTGATTTCTACTACGAAAGGAATTTGCTGAAGACGATGGAATTGAAAACGTGCACTTTCCATTTGATGCACCTGCAAGCTTTTGCCCAAAGAACGGCTTAGCCTTAGGGAGAGACAATGCTGGTGGCACGCAAACGCAGAGCCAGATTCACCGAACTGTGATGACCTGGCCAGCTGCCCTGGCGGCCGGACGCGCATACAAAAGTGCCAACTATCTCCTATGCAAAACTTTGAAATCAAATATTGTCCCTGGCACTCGCAACTTCTTTCTCGGGCACGGCCAAGTCAAGTGGGACTTCACAAACTTCCCGAGAACTGAAATTGACCAAGGGAACATGTGCAACACATGCACTTTGCCATGCTTTTTCCTAGCATGCAGATCGACTGCCATGCCTGCCAATGCTGCCCATTACCTCGGACATGGGAAAGCAATTGTCAGCAGCTAGACAGACGGAAGCACCCAAGCTTGCACATCTTCATGTGCTGAACCCCGAAGCCTACGAATCCCAAATGTAATCACTCACGTCACATAGCAGCTTCCTCGATTTCTTTTGTGCAATATACCCAACAGTTTGTCTGCAAGTACTTTCTGGCACTCACAGAAATGATGATTCCAGCAGCATGTGCGCAAACATTGGGACGTATTGGGACCGTTGTCCCGCCCAGGCATTCTTATCATGGCCTACTTGTTTGAACCCCATAACGTTGAAAACTTGATCTCAAACCCCCATGGGCGCCGTGTCCTTTTGGGAGGCTCGAAACACAAATGCTCCCAACAGAATCTCCATCCAAAAAACATGATCCCACTCCACATTATAAAAAACTATTTGCTCCAAATAGTACTGTGGGAGACCCGAATTGCCCCCACCAACCAGCTCAAAAGACAGCCGACAGCGACCAATGACAATCGCAGGCTAGGGTTCTAAAACACCAAATGCTGCCAAGGAATGTGAGACCGGGAAAAGGCGCAGAAAGCACCGTATTTTGAAGGGATTTGGTGTCCATGAGTTCTTAGGGCGAGCTCAACCGGGCGGATTTTTCGAAGAGAATTCCGCTGAGAACAAGATGACCATGGAATGGGTTCG